CCGAAAAACTGAGAGCGACTGGAGATCTCGAAAACGGTAGTCTAACAGTATTTAATCAATAACTTCTCACCACAACGTCAATTCCGAAGGAAAGATCGCAGAGCAAAAAGCTTGAAGTCATTCGACGCGCCGTGAAATTCTCTACAAAGTTATGCGTGCCGATTTTTGAGAAAAATTTTCTTTTGAAAGTTATAGGCCGTTTACTGAACTTGGAACCGAGTGGCAAAATCCTTTTTCGACAACTTAATGACTTTTCATCCGATTGACGTCAAAATACCGGCCTGAGGGTAGAAAACGATGAGGATGACGATGGTGATATTATCCGGAAATTTAGAGGATTTACAGAAGATCTCAAAGAGATTTCTAGAGGGTTTTTTGTTAGAAGCATGGTCACCATACTGATGCTTTTGTTCTTTGCTGTTCAATTGCTTTGTCCAATTTTGATACTGTTTCATTTTAATATCTGACGATCAATCTAGGTGTGGCACGCTGAAAAACAAACAAGGAAAAACAGACAAGCAAGAAAACACACAATAAAATATCTGACTGTTCTTACACCTTAGTATCTGACAACTCTCGAGCGAACCAACACATTTTATTTCTAACAAAAAACCCTCTAGAAATCTCTTTGAGATCTTCTGTAAATCCTCTAAATTTCCGGATAATATCACCATCGTCATCCTCATCGTTTTCTACCCTCAGGCCGGTATTTTGACGTCAATCGGATGAAAAATCATTAAGTTGTCGAAAAAGGATTTTGCCACTCGGTTCCAAGTTCAGTAAACGTTCAGTAAACCTTGTCTTAGCAGCATCTTATCTCCTCTACAACTCTTGCCAAGGAACTACCCAAAAATTTCTTAAGCTAACCGAGAGAGAACGAAAATACGGAGATTTAAAAAATACTGTTCGAATTACCCCACCCTACTCTATGTATTCTTATTTATTCACTCATTTAAATTTTATCATATACTGTAAAAGCTGAAAAACGTAGTCATTGCACGAAAAAAAGAAAAGAAAATTTCAGTTCGTCAATTAGATCTTGCGGCTCACAATTTACTGATACTCTATGAATAAACTATACTTACTGATATGCCTTCTATGAATAAAATTGTAGTCAATTTTTACCTTTTTAATAATAAAATTTCGCAATAAACTTTCTGCAAGACATGGTCATATAGGTGTTTGTTAAGTGTGCAGTTTACTGTGAAGAGATGGAAAATCAGCAACAGACTAACGATATATTTCTAAGTCTCTAATCTCCTTGCTATTCATTCTCTTACAGTGAGACTGGCAAAAAAGGTTTTCTTAGAGTTATCTTTTTATAAATGGATAGCTCTAACATCAGTTGTGTATCGAAAGACTTAAACTGATTAAGTTCCAGTCCTATCAAATCCTGTCAAACCTCTATTTATTTTCAAAGATAAGATCGTACGATATGTATAAAACAGCCGCTCAAAGTATGCCTCCAAGATGTTTTAGAATATTTTTATCTTTACTACTACAAATAGCATTTTCATTTCTCATTTAAATGGATTGAAGATCAAAGTACGCCTTTTGTATTTATTATCGAAAAAATACAAGTACAGTTATTAATCGGCTGGCTGCGAAGATCTACCTTTTCCCGCTTCATCAAACTTTTCCTTTAATCTATCAAGTGTTTTTCTAACATCAGCGTTCCCTCCAATATTAGTATTGGCAAGGCCTGTTATACGTAATGTTAACTGAGTTACCCATGCATAACAACTTTTCACTATATTATTTTCTTCAACAGGAGATCATCTCTGCCCTTCTTTTCTAAATAGGCGGCAATATTTTTGTTAAACGTTGAAGTAAATCGTCATGATGTTCTGGTATGGCTGAAATCTATGCATAAAGAAATCCACAGAATATATAAATTTGGATTTGTAGTAGGTGAGCAATTCAAGGTACAATTTCTTTACCCATGGTGCCAGATGAAATGAAAAATATTTTTTTACCATCATGCGATTTGATAAACACTTGCTATTCAAAACTAACGTCAAGATGTTTTGTTTCCGGTTAAGTTCCACCAATAGTCTTTCATTTTTGTCTCAGAGGAAGAAAAACGAAATCACATTTTTATTTTTTTTATTTCAACTTACTTTAAGTCACAGAAAGAGGACACAAAAATATTGCTGCTTGAATAATAATGAATAAGCTATACAGTATAAGATCTTAGTATAAGATCCATCGAATAAGATTTAAAAAAATTTTCTGCGAAACCAACATCATCTGCAAACAAAGACAAATTAGTTTCGTTTATATTTTCGATTCTGTGCAGTAATTCATACGTAAAAAAGTGTGTTTTCTGCCGTGAAGCATTTATTCAACGATAAAAGAAGTCATATGTCAACAAAAATGATTGTAGCTGAAAAAAACAGCTCTACTTTTTCTCTTCAGATTATTGTGTTGCTGAAAGTTAAGGTTATTCTTTCGCTCTGGGATATAGTGTAGAAATGATTTATTCGCCATACTCTGTTTAACTTTTCCTTTTTTTCATGTTTGTTTACCTGGCAATTTTACAGTGGAGATGGGTAACTTAGACGTATTTCTAGAGAATGGACAAATCGATGACACAAACAAATAACATCCCGGTAGGTGATAAATCGTTAAAGATCATTTTTCAAAATTTTCGCAGTTTATTAGCGGATGTTCCCATAGCAATGTCGTCGGATCCGAAACTTACAAAACTTGACTTCGTTAAACACTGTGTACTAACCGAGAAACCTCATCTTATCGCTGGGATTGAGACATGGCTAGGACCGTTAGATGAGGATAACACCTTGGCAACTGGCGGTTATTCAACATTATATAGAAATGATAGAACCTCGATTGCAGGTGGATGTATTATTTACGTCAACAGCAAGTTTGTTGCAAAAAGACTCCCGGAATGTGAACATGCTATTCTTGAAACTATTTTTCTTAGTGCATCTGTCCCAAAAAATAGCAATTATGTCTTAGCCTTGTGTTATACACCTCACCACCATTCTATGAGTGGCTTCCTTGATTATCTTACGGATGCTGTTGGAAAAATTTCTGTTCGATGCAAAAATTTACTCAGTCTTATATTGGTCGGCTACCTGGCATCCGTCAAAACCATCGACCGCCGCGAGTAACTTAATTCATGATTTTGTGACTCAAAAAAATGTTCATCTGTTTGTGGATTAGGCTACTAGACCGGTATCAAATACATGCCTAGATCTAGAAGGCCACTCACTGTATGTTTAATAACTTTGCACTGGAAGATGCTGGAGACGTGCGGTTTTCGTTATCTGAAACTAAAACTTTGGGGCAACAAGAAAATAAGAGAAAAAGCTTTTTCGAGTACTTTCGGGTGGTGTACCTTGCGTGGACATTTTGTAAGAATTTTCCGACCACTAAAAAGTTTTTGAATTTTGAATTCCTAGACGTCGGAAAGATTGCCCAACTCAAATTCTACAAGTCTAGACTAGTCCCAGCACGCTATCTCTCGTGGTTCAGGAGTTATAAAGGCTTTCCGCGGACATGCCTATCTCTGTCCGGACGCGGTCGTTGAGACATAGGTAATCGAGTGTGCTGATTATCATGGCAATGTTTGTTTTGGGTTAAAATGAAAGTCGAGGCCGGTGGGAGCTTATTTTCCCAAAATCGACTTTTTGCTTATAGACCATAGAACTTCAAATTGACGTGATTCAGTCATTTTACATTCAAACTAGCTCGAATTTTCAAAAAATACTCTAACCATGTTATTGAAACGGATTGAATCGTAGAAAGTTACAAACTTCGAGTTTTACGTGTTGAGGTTCTCTAGGAGGCTACCAGGGTTCAAAGCTTTATTAATTAAACTTTCTACGATTCAATCCGATTACATTTAGATCTGTAACAGTTCCAGCTCATAAGTTCAGCTCATTTGAGCGAAAGAACTGTTGGACAGTTCTTTTGAAAGGAGCTGATATGTTTGAACAGCTCTTTTGAATTTTTAAAATTTTTTTCAATGACTACTGCTAAAGCTTTCACGCTGAAGCAAGAGCTTGCTCAACTCGAAGCACTGGGGAAGAACGGTCATACATTTGCGTCATTCTGGAGAAAACATTCAACTTTATTTCCAATATTGAACCAGATGGCACGTCGATTCGGTCCTATACCCGCAACCTCAGTCCCCAGTGAGAGCGCATTCTCAATCACAGGCTATGTTGCTCGAAAAACACGGTCTTCTCTCTCAGCTAAAAACTTGAAATATTCAATGTTCATAAAAGATAAACTTTAATCTTTTCTTTAGTCTGCTTTTCTTACAAAGATCATACTTCTTTTATTTTACTTTTTAACCACACTTATCTGAGGAATAAAAAATTGACCATTTTACATGCTTCTATTTATGATTGCAGGACTTCGCTGATATGAACGTCTAATGAACATTCGGGACGTTTAAACTTTGTCTAGACGACTAGTGAGCTGCTCGAACATATCAGCTCCTTTCAAAAGAACTTTTCAACAGTTCCTATGATAGGAGTTGATATGGAACTGTCATACCCCTAATTACATTTGATCAATCAATCATTTTTTATGAGTGAAGAAAGTGCTTTTGCAATGAGATATAACGTCAGTTCTGTCACTTCTCCTTTAATTTTATCATCATTGTAGTGCAATACTTTGAAAGAAAGAAAAATGTATGATACCCCGTTTGATTGCAGTGGAAAAATTTCTGCGTTAGCATGGAGATATCTGCTGGTTATCAGCCGTTATACTTAAGTTACGAACGATCCTGTTCTGCGTCCGTCTCAGATTTTCGGTTTACATAGTTTTTTCGATAGATCAAGACATGCTCTTTTAAATGGCATTTTTGTTTGAAAAAATATTGCATCCACTGATTTTTTTAAGGCGCTGAGCAGGTGAACACTGACTATGTTGTAATAGTTTAATCAAACTGTACAGAAACACTCATTAAGATACAAGTGAAAAAAACGACATACAAGAAAAAAGACCACTGAAGTTCATTCACTGACTTATTTTTGGGCAATTAAACCGGTTATTACTTTCCCATTTGCAATCATTCGATCAAATTTATTAAAATCAACACTTGTCCCGTCAACATCACCTATGATATTTACTTTCCATGGATTAATTAGAGAAATTAATTGTCGTATTCTATCAACATCAATTTGACCATTACGTTTTTCATCCATAAGATCAAATATTTCCCGTTTTGTCTTACTATTTGAATCATCAACCGGATTCACAAATATTCGTAATATTAACAGAAACTGTTTCCATGATAGTTTTAGTTTTCCAAGTAAGTGTGCTGATTGTTGTTCATACTCTTGTTTACTAATTCGATGAGAACATAATTGATCGTTATATGCGTCATCAGTAATAATTGAAAATGTGACTGAATCTGAACTTTCACGCCAATTTAGTTTCAAGAATAGATCTCAAACAGGAAACAAAAGATTTTATCGCTGTGAATAGAAAAGACATTTTTCAACATTACCTCTACTAATTGTTTCCGATTTTTTCAACTTTATGAATTTAGCCATTAAAATCTCAGATCAAATGTTTTTTTATTTTCGTTTTTCTGTCAATTTATTTTAAATAAAATAGCATAGGTTAAAAAAATGGATATCAGCTGTCTTCTTTTTTTTCTCCGTTTTCTTATCGTCACCGTTAAAGATAAATGTAGCTACGATGTGTTTTGACATAAACAAATACTTACAATTATTCAAATAGAATTTGAAAAAAAAGGTGATAAAGCAAGTTACACAAAAAACTTACAGCAAGTCTACCATTAATCTATTACAAAACATGGTTTTGACTTATTTACAGGGATCCCACATCCAAAAGATGCAAATCAGAAAAAGTAATTCAGAATTGGAAAAAAATCAGAGTATGAATTTTTTGGTACCAGGATAATTAATTATAAGGTGCCGGAAATACGAAATTCGAGCAAAATTTTGTTTTGATCTTTTTCTGGCATGGTTGGATAGTGCGAGCTCCCCAAAATTTTGTATGATATCCCAGAATTTTTGCAAGTAGGTTTTGGAAGAAAAGACGTGACTAAAAATAAAAAGTCAGTTATTTATAAATGAGAGATGATTCAAGTATCTTCAGAAAACTAACTAGAAGAAAACAATGAAATAATTTTTTGTCATAGTTCTCAAACTTTGAATGTTTAGAGTACTCATTCATGACAAAATCAAGTGTCAATGAGGAAGATCTTGTATTAAACTGAAAAGGGTTAGAAGAAGTACTGAGGAAGTAAACTATTTGATTTGGTAAGTAATTATGTAAAAGTCATAATACATGATTACAAATAGATATTCATTTGAGTAGCCATAACGATTATTGTATGGGACATTAATATTAAACTTTAATCCACGTATATCATACAGCTCGGATTTGTTTGGTTGTAGCATCGCATTTGAGAATCTTCTCAAATCGCGAGGAGAGGTAGGGTAGCTCTATCTCATTTATGGAAACCTTATCCGGATCCTAAAACATTGAAAGGATGTGATGTGTTGGATGACATGCTGAAGTAAATTACGTCTAAAATGTTTTCTTAATGTCGACATGGCATCCAAGGAGAGGTAAAGGGCCGTATTTTTTAGCAAAGCGGAAACTGAGAACTCAATCGATAGATAGCGATTAATTTATCAAGAATCTATTGAATATCACATACTTGTCTGAGAGTCGCTTTCTGTAGCTGCACCATTGAATGTTGCCTTTTTCGATGTCAAGACAGGAGTGTTTTAGTACAAAATTGTTCAGTTTACGTTTGAGTCTGTATTTTTGCTTCTTACGTAACTCAATAATATTTAGATTTAGTAAGTGTCTGTGTCTGATTTATTGAAATTGTCTCCGATGTTTACCGGAAAATGTGTATATCAATGGTTCAGATGTACCATTTTCTCTTAATGTTCGAACTAAAGTAACATGGAAATTATCTACATCTGACTTAACAATCATATTTGTTTTTAATTCAAAATACCGTCGTCGAGCTAAGTCAAAATCAGGATAGCCATTATTTAAAATATGAATACATTGATTTTCATTGTTCTGACATATCGGTCTATTACTAATATCAAATACATAGATGTGTTTTGCTTCTGTTAACCATGTAACATTAGCCGGATCCGAATGCGATGATGTAAAATTCCAAGATAAACTTGATGTTATGAAATTATTGTGAATATTTTTATAATTTACTCTGGAAAAAGTGACGGTTGTTTCAATATTTTCTCTTTGTGTTACTTGATACACTCTTGGTTGAGAATACAAATAATTATGCTCATCTCGGGAAACATCGAATGGTTGAACTTGTCGTTGGGTGAAAGATGGAGAAACATTGTTTGTCATGGAGTGAATTGTCACTGGGAGATCTACATAAGTCCTTGAGTTCAGATAGAGCTTTGTCGTCATTCGATATGGTGTGGGCCACAAAGAGTGAAAACGTGAATTCGATACAGCAATACGAATACGATGATTTGGTGAAAAGGTCCAGGTAGTAAAATGTAATTGTAGGGTGAGATTGTAGATTCGATCAGAAATTAAATATTCTGGTTTTTCTCGTCCATTATGATGTGCACCATTTAATCCCGTTCCTGTTACCAGACTAACTTGACTATTTGGATGTACGTCTTCTAATCGGACGATCCAATGGGCTAATTTTGCCGTTGTACTTACTTGTAGTGACACACGAACAAAACCAACAATTTCAACTGACTCATTCAAAATGCCACTGTCATACACTAGACAATCTTTATCATACGGGCTTTGATCGCCACTCAGATCTCCCCATAAAGCACCACTTTCGACACCTATCCACGGTTTGTAAACTAATTCATTAACGCGACTCTCATTCTGCTCACTAAATGACAATCCGTTCCCATCGGTTAAGTAAAAACGTTTGAGATGTGAATGTTCGACAGGCCACGTTTCATAACGCCATTCGCCAGGGATATTTTCAGACCGTGCTGATGGCGGTAAGGATGTATTACGTATAAACAATGTAACATCAGGTTCATTTAAAATATTTGTGTCTTGACCTTTTAACCAATAGTCAAACCAGGCGACAATCTCAGAGTTTCCGTCATAACCTGGTCCCGGCTGATTATCTTCTGGCATTGAATGTGTAAACGGTCCAACAACAATTTTGATTTTGGGAGAAAATTGACGAGCATTATTGTAAATATTTAGCGCAAAATCTAAACAACATGAACATTATCACTTTGAATATCAGCGTCATAGCTGTAAATTTATATTTACCTTTATATGCATCATAATAACCGGCTAATAAATATATCGGTAAAGTTAAATTTTCATAATGATATTTGACGGAATGTTCTCGCCAAAATTCACTATCAACTTGATATTGCAAATATAAATCTGTCCATGGATATAAATTGAAACGTTGATGGATAAAATTGTCATCTGTCGAATAATTAGGAAAGCCTGGTAAAGCATTTTCCTGATCAATATATAACATGTATTGATCCTGATGGAATATACCTGAATAGAACTAAGACACACTGTTAAAAGGAAGGGATGAGATGGATTATAAAATCGAGCCTTCTTCAGAATGTTTTAATTTCAATAGGGAATTACGTTTTACGTAGTTCTTGACACCTTTTAGATATTAGAAATTAGTTTCAATGAGTAGAAATAATTCACCAACTTTCGCATTTTTTGTAGATACCATCAATTAGAACTTGCCTAATTTATCGACTATTATTCAGGATGCTGATCAAGTATTAAAGCAGTGCTTTGAATATAAATAAACGACAGAGCCGTGATCAGCATAATGTAAAAATATAATCTGCAAGCAAAAATAAAACAATGTCTAGAGAGGACGAAAACCGCTCTTTTCCGGTGATATAAAAGCCATCGAAAAACACTGAAAGATGGTTCTTTAGGTGCTGATCACGCATTTGAAGTTTATTTCTTCAAAACATTGTTTTACTAAAGAAATTAGGTTTTTTCATATTTTGAAAATTCTACCATGACAACACGCCTTAAGAAATTTTCTATTTTTTATGTCGCATTCGTGGAAAATTTCACGAGCTATCGAGCAGGCGACCTGCGTGCGAAGTACTTCGAAATTATTAGAAGAAAATAGAAACTCTATGATAGGTGGAACTGCGATACAGTGATGAAAATGAGTTTGGTGTTAAAATTGTCTGGTAAAGATTTAAATGTTTCTTTTACACATTTTTTTTTAATCTTGTTTTTTACATTTTAAAAATTCAATTATCACCTTGTAGTTTGTTAGAAAGATTAACGAAAAAAGTAAAAGCTTTTTCATAGCTGAGAAACGTAAAAAACTATTAAGCAGAGTGGTTTATAGAAAACTTTTTAAACGAAAGAGATTTCCTCATCGACTATTTGTGTTTGAATTTCCTTCAGACAAAAATATTTTCTCTTTATTCATATTGAAAGTTGACTGGCAGATGAAAAAAATCTTAGTTGCTGTTGAATCCTAAATTTAGTAATTCGCGTAGAAAAGGTGAAATAACTTAATTATCTGAATAAAACCATTAATCAAACGTTTTCATCTTACCGTCCATAAAATGTATATCGTTGTAATACAAGTCCTCCGATCCATGTGCTGCAAAAATGGCTTTTAAAGCTGGAGGATGTCTCAGTGTAGCCATCATTAAACTATTAAATGCACTCCAACTCAAGCCCATCATGCCAACAGCACCATTTGATAATGGATACGCAGCTAATTGTTCAATAACACTCTCACAATCATCTAGTTCTATCTTGGAATATTCTTTGGGAATGCGTACACCTTAATACAAAAAACGAGTTCGTTTCAAGCAAGTTTAGAATAGCGCGTGTACACGCAAAAATTATAGAACAGTTGTAGCCGTTTAATTAGTGCATAAACTTCCGCATTATATGCTATACTATTCTAATCCAGAAGTAAGACAACTGTTAAAGAGAAAATATGCGATCAAGACAATAAGATTTCTATTGTGTTCGATTCGTATTCAACATTAGCATTTAAGAATTGATAAAATTGTAACAGAAGCTGTTTTATTGGAAAAATGATGAAAATTGTTAAATCAACTGCTGTTACAATTTTATTAATTCTGAAATTTTTATCCCTAAACAAACATAATTAGTCCTTAATGTGTATGTAGATTGTGATGAGTCTATTTCTTACTCCAAATATTTATTCGCACCAAAGATAGAACAATACAATAAAGTACAATACACTAAACGCCACGAATACAAATGAGAGGAAAATCTTCACTATATATACGCGC